GTTAAAATGTTATTTCATTTATATCTTTGCTATCATCTATTTGCAATCTCAATATATGTGCAATTAATATGTGCAATGAATAAAATCAATACCAAAAAAATAAGAATGTTATCAATTTTTTGAGCAGGGGGGGTGCAGTTTATTAGCTTGCCCCAGGCGCAGAAAATCTTAGTTTGGCTCTGACTGCAGGCTTTTTTCGGAAGAAGCTTTTCTGGAAGAGTTCTTTGGGAAAAACTTCTTTCAAAAGAGAGTGTCTACTCAGCAAAAGCACAACAAAAAAGCGATGTGCTTTTTCATAAGATAGGGTAGTCTAGACTACATGCCTCTGGCAACAGAGGCATGTAGATTAGGCTACCAGACATAGGAAAATGAAGCGGCGCTTTAAATAATTAAATTAAATATTATTTAAATAATTAAAGATTTATAAAATATATCTTTATATGGCACTTTTTACAGAGATTAAAAAAATGCTTGCTCCCTAGCCTACAGATCTTATGCAAATGGAAAATGAAGATAATATATTTAATGTGTTGTAAAGCTGGATATGGTGATTAGAATCTTTTAATATAGGTGGGTTTTTAAAAAAGGAAACAAAACTATTTTCCTAAACTAGGAAAAAAGCACAGAAAGTGCTAAAATGAAGGAAATCTGATATTTTGATCTCTCATCTTTCAGATATGTTTCTACAGCAAACAGCTCTCCCAGCATTTCTACCACCTCCCTAAGTATCCCATTCTAGGGCTTCACCACCTTCCTAGCAAAATAGTTTTCCCTCATATCCAACCTAGACATACCCCACTGCAACTTGAGACCATTTCTTCCCATTCTATGTCACAACTGAGACCAGCCTCCCTTCATCCTCTCTGGAACCCTCCTTTAGGTAGTTGAAGGCTGCTATCAAATCCCCCCTCACTCTTCTCCTCTGTAGACTAAACAAGCCCAAATCCCACAACCTCTCTTCAGAAGTCATGTGCTCCAGCCCTCTAATAATTTATGTTGCCCTCTGTTGGACTTTCTCCAATGCATCCACATCCTTTTTGTAATGGGGGGCTCAGAATTGGATGCAATACTCCAGATGTGGCCTCACCAGTGCCAAATAAAGGGGAATAATCACTTCCCTGGATCTGTTGGCAGTGCTCCTACCAGTTCGCCAATGTGCTGTTTGCCGCCTTAGCTACAAGGGCACACTGTTGACTCATATCCAGCTTCTCATCCACTGTAATCCCTAGTTCCTTTTTTGTAGACCTGCTCCTTAGCCAGTTACAGCCTGTAACAGTACTTGGGATTCTTCCGTCCCAAGTGTAAGACTCTGCACTTATCCTTGTTGAACTTCATCAGATTTCTTTTGGCCCAATCCTCCAATTTGTCTAGGTCACTCTGGACCCTCTGAGTCCAGCATATCTACCTCTTCCCCAGCTTGGTATCATCTGCAAACTTGCTGAGAATGTAATCCATCCTTTCAATCAGAGCATTAATAAAGATCTTGAGCAAAACCAGTCCTGAAGCAACCTGTGGCACTCCAACAGCTACCTACGGTCAACCAGACACCAAGTTGTAGATCACTACCCGACGGTCTAGCCAGCTTTCTATCCGCCTTACAGTCTGTTTTTCCAATGCATATTTCTTTAACTTGCTGACAAGAATACTGTGGGAGACCGTATCAAAGGCTTTGCTAACATCAAGGTACTACACTTGATCTTAGCCAAAAGGCCGAGAAGCGATCACATCCACTACCTTCCCCATATCTAGAGAGCCAGTTACCTCATCGTAAAAGGCAATCAGATTGGTCAGGCATGACTTGCCCTTGGTGAATCCATGTTAACTATTCCTGATCACTTTCCTCTCTTGCAAGTGCTTCAAAATGGTTTCCCTGAGTATCCCCTCCACTATTGTTCCAGGGTCTGACGTGAAGCTGACCAGTCTATAGTCTCCCAGATTCTCCTTTTTTTTTTTTTTTTAAAGCTAGGTTCCAGTCACCTGGGACCTCCCATGATTGCCACAAGTTTTCAAAGATAATGGCTAATGGCTCTGTAATCACATCAGACAACTCCCTCAGCACCTTTGGATGAGTTAGATCTGGCCCCATGGATTTGTATATGTCCAACTTTTCTAAATAGTTGAAACTGTACAGCTAGTGTGTGTAAACAAGCCCTTAGAAAACAAAGTTACACAGACTTCATTATGTGACCATTGGAACAGATCTTTGCACTACCACAGCATTAACTCTTGTACAGTATAATTAGCAAACAAAAACTAAGCTTAGTGGCTGTTAAGGCTTTGCATGATTATTTCCATGCTTTTAAGGATGGCCTGCTGCAACCTTAACAGTGACTTCTTGTCTTTATATTAATCAACAGAGTGGCACCTCTAAATATCAGAGGATTTGATGTTTTCCAAATGGGTTTCACTTCTGTTTAGTAGTGAGCAATAGAAATGGGAGATCAGGTATCCTGTGTTTTATCCCTGGCTCTAGATGACCTCTTGAGGCAAGAATAGGCAATTTTTTATGGGAGGGCCAATCCAAGATTTTGGTAAGTGGTCAAGGACTGCCCTTTTCTATAGAATGAGGGTCCGCGATAGAGATTGGGTACAGAAGACAGCTCAGAATAGAAGACTGGGTGCAGAAGAGAGTGTGGGGTCAGAGTTTGGGTCAAGGAAGGGATTGTGACCTGGGACAGGGTATTGGGGTGCAGGAGAGGATTCTGACTTGGGGGAAAGGTGAAGTAGGGGGTACAAGGTCTGGGAGTGAGTTGTGACCTGAAGCAGGGGGAGCTGGGTTGCAGAAAATGTGGGTGGTGACCAGGGCAGGGAATTGGGGTGCAGGATCCAGGAGGGATAATGGTGCAGGAGAGGATTCTGCTCTGGAGTATAGAAGTGGTACGTAGTCTGGGAAGGATTTGTGACCTGGGGGATGAGGAGGAAGGATGTAGAAGGTTTGGGTGGTGACCTGGGGTATTGGGATGCAGGGTCCACAAAAGAATTCTGGCCTTATGGAGAGGTGTGGGATCTGGATGTTGTGGCCTGAGGGAAGGAAATGTATAGGATTTAGGTGGTGAGCTGAACAGAGGATTGGGGGAAGGGAGGAGCTGGGGTGCCAAAGGCAGGCACTGGCCAGGAGGCACTTGCAGAGGCAGCTCCCAGATAGCAGCCCAGCGGGACCCTGAGGCAGGCTCTCTCCCTGCCACAATGCAGCTCCAAGCTGCTCCCTCCATGTGCAGCTCTGTGGAAGGAGGTGGAAGACCACCAATGTGACCCATGATGATTGGCCCGGGGGCAGGGGTAGTGTGTGAAGTCTCCTCCCCTTCCTCCTCCTCCCCCCCCTCCCCCAAACAAGGGGCATGCAGCTTACCTTCTACCAATAGGACAGCGAGTGCAGGATTGCAAACATGCTGCTGCACAGCTCTGCTAAGAAGGTGGGTAGGACAAATTCTTTCTGCATGCTCTAAGTTCTGGGAATTTAAGTACTCATCCCCAAAAACCAAAGCTATACATACATTTACTGTGTTGGTAAACAACATGAATAACCAGGTAGTCTTTGATATAACGTATCCATTTAAAACAAACATGGCATAACAGTTCCTCTCATGACTGCAACAAGCATGTCAGAAAACAAAAGCTTAAACATTTTGGCTGTGTCTAGACTGGCAAGTTTTTCCGCAAAAGCAGCTGCTTTTGCAGAAAAACTTGCCAACTGTCTACACTGGCCACTTGAATTTCTGCAAGAACACGGACGATCTCATGTAAGAAATCAGTGCTTCTTGCGGAAATACTATGCTGCTCCCGTTCGGGCAAAAGTCCTTTTGCACAAAAGCTTTTGCGCAAAAGAGCCAGTGTAGACAGCTCAGATTTGTTTTGCGCAAAAAAGCCCCGATCGTGAAAATGGCGATCAGGGCTTTTTTTGCGCAAAAGCACGTCTAGTTTGGCCACAGATGCTTTTGCGGAAAACGTCCGTGCCAATCTAGACACTCTTTTCCGCAAGTGCTTTTAATGGAAAACTTTTCCGTCAAAAGAATTTGCGGAAAATCATGCCAGTCTAGACGTAGTCTTTGTGTCTAGGCAGAAAGAGAACTAGTCAATATAGTAAGGATGTTTAGGTGGCTCATAAGATATGGTACTTGAATTTCTATGGGAAGAGGATATCACATTTATGTCTGAATTGCTTAATTTCTTCTGTAGATATTTTTGCAGGGGAGCAAAGAGGATAGTACCGAGTGCAACTTGATTAAACTAGACTGCCTGAATAATATCAAATCAGTATAATGAAGAGGGAGCTGTCAATTTGTTTTCAAAATTTTATTAATTCAAGTAATAAAAAAAAAGTTACAGCAAGTTTATCAAAGACCACGTACATACAAACATCCTTAAAAACAAAGCCATATTCAATTGTACACAAGCCCAATAGCTATAGAACTCTGAATCTTTCCTATATCCTAACAAGGCCAGCTTCCAAAAAGTATATTTAGATTGATTTTTCATTATTTGTAATAGGAAGCTTGAGACAGATGTATATACTCTGACAAGCAAGTTACTGCAATTCTTATGCAGTTCAGCTCAATATAATCTCTTGGGCTATGTCTACGCCACAGGATAAGGTCGAATTAAGAATGCAACTTCAGCGACATTAATTGCATAGCTGAAGTCTAAGTACCTTAACTTGATTTTTGGCACTGTCCACACTGCAGGAAGTCGAAGGGAGCACACTCTTCCTTCGACTTCCCTTACTCCTCATGGAAGCAGGACTACCTGCATCAACAGGAGTGCCCCTCTCAGTTCGAATTAGTGTGTCTTGACTAGACCCACTAATTCAAAACACTGGAAGATTGACAGCGGCAGCTTCGATAGTCTCTGTAGTGCAGACATACCCTTGGAGAGTAAGCCAGCTCCCAAATTATACTTGTACCTCTCTCTCCCACTCCCTCTAGACAGGGTAAATACTAATACCAATGTTGCCAATCTACGCTCATTAGAATTAGAGAGATCACTAAGTTACATTTTTCTCCCCCCCGCCCCCCCCACTGTAGACCACTGACAGAAAAATTTAAATCTACACTTCTGGTCTTGCTTCACTTCCATGTGCCTTCTTGGTAATTCATGATTTGTTTTCTATTAACTTCAGTTATGGGTTTAATTCTCTTTGCATTTCATTCATTTCCTTTATCTGGTGAGAAAGGAAGAAGAGAATATTAATGGTACAGATGTTGGAAGCAGTGTTCCTTCTAAGCTGCACAGCTTCATAGGTAATTAGAGGGAACACTGGTTGGAAGACAGTTTACCCCCTTAAAAGATCCTGGGGTGAGGGAGATGATGGCAATCACTGTTCTCCTATTAGCTCTGCTATTGCGCCAAGACACCCAGTCGTAGCCAGCCATTTTCATCCCATGATTGCATAATTCAAGGCTAGAGTTTGGCATGCATGGGCAAAGGCATAGGGCCTTGCTTCACTAAGCCAAATAGAAAATAAAATCCTCATCCTGAAAATATTTACTCATGGGCTTAACTTTGCAGCATCTACGAACACTATACAAAATTATGAACAAGCTTAACGCAGTAACTGGGAACTGAATGCCAGGGCATACATGATTGCGCTTAGTGCACCACATGTGTATTATCTCAGCTCATGTAAGAGGTCTGTTACGGTGCTAGACAAATTTTGGAAGAGGGAGGGGTAAATAAAAAAGGAAGAGATTTGAATGAGACAAATACATAGATCGGGGATGAGGAACCTACGGCTTGCCTCTAACAGACCTTCAAAGCTTAGGGCTCTTCCCCTTTCCTCGGACCAGATCCCATGTTCCACACCTGCATCCTACCTCTTGCCCAGATGCTACATTCTGGCAGCTCCCTCCTGTACACTTTGGCCTTATCCCAGAGCCTGCGCCCCTCACAAGGTCTATTAACACTGGGCCCCCAGAAGCCAGCCGTTGGCGGGGTGGAGGGAACCCCGAGCCTTGAAGCTTGAGGCAATTGAGCTAGTAGGAGAATGGGGACTGACTGCCACCACCTCCCCAAGTGGCCTTAAGGAGCTGGAATATGAGACAGACGAGGAGAGTGCTTCTTTTCCCTCCTCGAGGTCCAGATCAGTGAGGTGTTGGGGTTTTTTTTGGCTTGCTTGCTTACTTGTGTGGCCTCCAAATGACTTCTCTGTGGGTGTATGGTACCCAACCCCAAAAAGGTTCCCCTCCCCAGACATTGCCTTGTTTCAAACTATGGCCTATCTAGTCTAGTGTGGTGCTGCTGCTTCTACTGCTTTAACATCAGAATTGTAGGCTTGCCAGGGCTAGTTCAAGGAACCCAAAGGTTGAATTAGGGACACTAAAATCCCACTGAGTTAGTTAATATTTAACTAGTTAAGTTTAAGAGTGATGCCTACTGGGCAACCAGTTAACCATTCACATCCCTAGTTTGAATTAGTTCTTAGCTTCTGCTGTCTGCCAAGCAAAAGTGATATGCTCTATGCCTCTCAGGGCCTCTTAATTTTCCTCTCTGCATCAGACTACCCCTCGTGCCAAGTGAATTACTTGTATAATGAAAATCCTATGATATTAGAAAATGATGCACCTCAAAACAGTGTATTCTAGGGATGTAATAGCTTATGGGTTAATGCTCTAGACTACTTTATCAGAGGCAGCAGCACAGGTCGACAAGGAGTCAGTCTGCAAGAGGAGCTGGTTTTTAAACTTGTTCCCCTTGCAGACCAGCTCCTGCCTGGCACCCTGGGCTGCTGCTGGTCCGGCCCCTGGGGAACAGACTAGACGACTAATCAATACTTCATGAGGTTACTCGATTATTCAATTAACCGATATTTAACATCCCCAGTGTAGACCCCCAGATGCAAACGAGAATGATACTTGCACTTTCCCTTTCCTCTTAACTTCCTGACAGCAATAGGAAGGGGAAGAACAAGCAGTGTCCTGGTATGAACCGGGGGAGACTTCAACCCTCCTGCCCCCCTCCCTCTGGTCCCTGCCCTGAGCCCTGCATAGCAACTCCTGAACACCCCCCCACCACCTTCCCAAGCTCTCCAACCCCCTACCTTGGGTCTCTCCCCACCCCATGCTTAAATTCATCACACCTACCCCTCAACCTCCTGCCCTGAAGGCTCCCTAGCAGGAGGGTGGATTGTGGTATGACAGCAACTCAAAGAAATGCAAGTTACTTTCACCCCCGCAAAAAATCTTGGTGACATCCCACATAGTTAGCTTTCATAAAAGTCTGTATCTAATACAGTGTTTTGGGTCCTTTAGAACTTACCTCAGTCTTCTCATACTTCCCCCTCCTTCTCCTAGTGATAACCTGTTTAAAAGAAACAAAAACACACACACCTTAGGTTAGACAGTTAAAGCACCATAATTCAGAGTTAAGCTTCATGCCTGTTCAGCGTTTAAGTATTTCACATCCTTAAGTCCTTAGCTATGTCTAGACTTCGGAGTTTTTCCCGGGATACCAGACATATCCCAGAAAAAAAAAAATCCACCGCATCCAGGGAATGCGTCTGCTCTTCCAAATTTTGTGCAGAAGAGCAGATGTGCCCTTTCGGCAGCCCTGTCGAAATGAGGAAGAAGGGCTTTTCCGAAAAAAATGGAGATTTTTCCAAAATGTGGCTCACTGTAGAAGGGCCAAATTTTGAGAAAGCCTCTTCTAACAAAACTAGAGGAAAAAAAAAATGTATGCAAATTGCGGAATGCACTTTGCCACTTTTTAATCGGAAAGTCCAGACGTAGCCCCAAACGTAGGAGGAAGAAAAGTTTCTGCTATTCACTTACTACATTAGGCTGGCCCAAACTTATGTACTGTGGATTTTTTTTTTTTTTTTTTTGGAATGTACACATGAGAACAAAGACTATCTGCCTTGCCTATTCCAGGGCACAGCAACCAATCAAATCTTAATATGCCTCTTCACCCTTCCCCTTCTGTACAACAGGTCCACTCCTTTGCATGTCCCTTTCCCTTCTCCAGTGTCTGATTGGTGGTGGGAGGAAGAGCCCCCGGAGCTCAAGGCAGAGAATGGTTTAGAATGCAGGCACAAAAAGTGTACCAATTTCTTTTCATCTAAACTTACCAAAACAATAATTCCAGCAACAATTGCCAGTACTACCACTACAATGACTGCAATAACACCAGCGGTCAGACGTTTCATGGAGAACTCTGGAGGCTTTTCATCAACATAGTAGATTAGAGTTTGATCAAGTTTCAGAGGTTCTTCACTGACATTAATAACTAGTGGATTAGTCACAAGTAGAGAGTCACCTTTGACCTGTGGGAGGTTGAAGAAACACTTATTAGCATCATGCTCTTATGCATTAATCCATATAAACAACATTGGATACAGCTCAAATTATTGGCCAGTAGACTTGAATAAAGTTGTTAAAAGTCACTGTTTTGGAAGTATTAATGCACTTCCCTTTTGGAGAGAGAATGGAGAAATTCCAACTCTAAAATTTAATCAGATTTAGGCACTGCATACTCTTCAGTCTTTACTTTAATCAATTGACTGATTACATTCTTACATCTTTTTCAAAGTAGTAAGCCACATCAGCTATATCCACGTCCTGGGAAGACTTCTGGGAAACATTTTGCTTCAGTTCAATAATGATTAAAGGTTTTTCATACTGTGAAAAGAAGAGTAGTATTACGGTTATCACTTCCTTGTAAGCAACTAGACAGTAATTCCATATTCTGCTTTTTAATATTATTGATGAGTTTTATAGGTGGAAATACCAAAACACACTAAATGCTTCTTAACTTACATCTGAACCATGCAGTGGTTACGTATATGGTGGTAGGCAGAATTTTAGAATTTTTTCGGAGAGTGTATGTGATTAGAATTTGCCTCAACCTTTACTCTATTTTTTTTTCAATTAAAAAGTGACCAAAATGTTGAGCTGCTCATGAAAAGACTGGCAGAACAAGATTCAAATGAAAGGGAAGTGTCTCAAAGACATCCTTGAGCAGAAGATTCCTCGAAACAAGGCACCTCCCCCTTATTGGAGAGAGAATGAAGAAAAAATTTTTTGACAGTCTAATGTAGATGTAGGCACTGGAGACTAGGGATGTAAAATCCCATTTAGTTAGTTAACCGCTTAAACGTTAAGGGCTGCTCCAGCCCAACACAGAGCTGCCAGCTCCCAGCCCACGCAGGACTGCGGCTTCCAACCTCGAGGGGGGCTGCGAGACCTGCTGCCACTTTCAGGGCCACTTCTGCATGAGGCTGCCAGCTCCCATTAAGGATAATGCTTACCAGGTATCCAGTTAACCATTAACATCCCTATCCCAGACAGCCCCCCTCTCTCTCCCGCCTGCAGCTGGGCTGGAAGGGACTGCCAGCCCCTCTCCTGGGGAGAGGGCTCAAGAGCCAACAGTGAAGCCTCCCCAGAAGCAGGGCCAGCAGCCCTTGCAAGCCTCACTCCAAGAGGCTTCGTTGCAGGTGCTACAGAATCAAACTAGAGCTTCATATAGTAGTTACACACGCTGCAGACTTTGCAATGATTTTTGGCAATTACATTTTAAAAAAACCAACACCACATTTTTACATCAACTGCATACCCCTCAGTTTCTACTTTAGTCAACTGAATGACTATAATACAATGCCTCCATCCCTTCTATTCAACCCTAAACAAAACTAAGCCCTTAGTCTTAAAATATTACATTGATTTCCAGACCCATTTCTAAGAAAAAAGAAGTACACCTCTTACCACAACATCATGTATATACTTTGGTTCCAACAAGTAACGTCGTCTAAATTCATTTTTGATGGTTCTGCAGGAAGATACAATATTAAAATGGAGCAACTCTAGACACTCCCCCAAACATATTGGAGAAAGCGCCCTGTAGGAAGAATTATATACAACCTATAACAATTGCTCCAAGGCAATTGGCGCTTTCATGGGAGTTTATCAAAGCATTTTGAAAGCCAAATCAAAACTAATGGAGTCAGGTATTGTGATGCTTGCAATATTACACTTCCTCTGCCCCCCTTTAAACCTTAGCCTAGTCTTAAGCAATATGACAGATTTAAGCTATGTCTGCACTGGGAAGTGCTGTCTACATGCAAATCACCAAGACTGAAAACCAGTTTTTCTGCATCCCATTGTTGACATTTCATGACCACATTGCTAGCACCCTGATAACAGGTAAGGCCAAAGCAGTGTGGGTAAGCGGCCCACAGTGCAGTGTTGTGGGAAGGCAGAGTTCATCCCTGCACTTCTTGGGATTTCCTCATAGCTCTGTGGGCTCTCTGTGCTGAAGAATGTCAAAGCAGCATGCCTCCAGCCCTCCCTCTGTAGCAGCAGTCTGCCTGCAGCTGTGTTCCTAGCAGGGCGGATCAGAAGCATTAATGATTTGTTCTGAAAACTGAGCAGCTCACTCAGCAGTCAGATACTTCCCAGAACTATGAAAAGGGAAGGGCACATGTCAGGAGGGAAGTGGAGATCACAAAACACTGAGTACAGCCATCAGGGCAGACAAGTGGGATACTGGCAGAAGCCAGTTCTCTCAACACAAACAGTTTTTGTCAACAATAAAGGGAGGAGAAAGACAAGTCTCTTGCAGGGTTGGAAATGTAGTCACCAAAACAGGGTGTTTCACCAGACAAAAGTCACACTGCAATGTAAACACTCAGGCTACAGCTACACTGCCTTTTTTGGTGGAAACTCATTTGCATATCTTCTTCCCAATTCTTTTTGCATAAGAGGTTTTGTCAATAAAAAGCCCCACGTAGACAGGGCCATTTGTTGGGAAAAAAACCCTTTTTCGTAAGATCCCATATTGCTCAAAAATTGAGATTTCCAGGAACTTGCAAAAAACCTCCCTTTTTCTCAACAAATGGCCCCATCTACATGAGGCTTTTTATCAGCAAATCCTCTTCTGCAAAAAGAATGGGAAGATATACAAATGAGTGCACCATTTGAATATCCTCTTATGCAAAAAAAGGTAGTGTAGTCGTAGCCTCGCTGTTTTGTTGCCAAAGACAGTTTTTGGTGACAAAACATGCCAGTGTAGACAAGCCCTTAGTCTTACAGTTCTAGCGCTCACAGTTGCCAGGAAGAGTAGGCTGGTGGGACATAAGTAACTCAAAAGCTCAAACCAGACAGTCACTTATTTTTGATGTCCTTACTAAAAATTCTTAGATTTGGCAATACTGTATTTCACTTAATTTAAACTAAGGCTGTCAAGTGATTGATTTAATCATGAAATTTTAAAAAATTGCTAGTAATTGCAATTTAACAATGCAATTAAGACAATACAATTTACTGTTGTTTTCTTCATTTAATACAATGCTCCCTTTAATTTTTTTATTATAGATATTTGCACTGTAAAAAAAAGTAAATTGAATATTCCTCATACCATTTTCCATTAAAATACAACTTAAGCATATTTATTTTGTTAAATAATGTAAAACTTTAGAGCCTACAAATACACTCAGTTTCTACTACTTGTTCAGCTAATGATAAAATTGTTCACATTTATGCCAGATAATGCTGCCCACTTCTTATTTACAAGATCATCTGAAAGCGAGAAGAGGCATTCAAATGGCACTTTAAGCCATCATTGCAAGGTATGTATGTGTAAGATATGCTAAACATCTGTATGTCCCTTCATGCCACCACGCTGATGATGGGAGTTAAAAAAATAGAAATTAAATTTGTTACTTGGTGAAGAAGTGTATGTTTCCTGCTCCATAGTTTTACCAGCCTATATTTAATGTTACAGCAATGCCAAATGATGACCTGAGTCCCAGATTTCAGAGATTAAACTGGTATTTGAAAATGTAGGAAAGCATCATGACAACATAATGGGTCAGATCAAAGGTTCATCTACATTTAAAGTGATAATCTATTATAAGAATGATTAACAATTAGTCACAACATTCTCACCAAAAGCAGTCATTTTGTTTTGAGTTAAACACTTGAATTGACTGCCCTTCTTTAATGTACAAGTGAGAAATAGACATCCCCTACTGCATACTATAGCACAGATATCAGAAATTTTATTGTGATGCACTTACTCCTTCAACTGAGAAACATCCACATCTTTACTTCTCTCACCATGTTGTGTTTCAATGAGGATCCAGCTAAAATATAGAAGTTAGAGCAAATATTTCAAATATCTACAAAATCAGGTGTGCCAACGTATTAAAATATTTTGCGTACTCATGTTAAGGTCAATGATAGCTGATATTTATTTTTAGAGATTGTGATGGGAAAAGAAACTTCTTTCCACCACCCCTGCACACACTGACATTTTAAATGAAGTATCAAAACTGGTTAAGTTCTTAGGAGTCAAGAATACTGGATTTATGGTTCACATATACACTAAGTTCTCCCTTATGTGCAAAATACAGTGAGCAAATCACATGCTATCACATTGTTATGCCATATTCTATTGCAAGACTGACCTTGTTCTGACTAGCTCACTGCACTGCAGGTCTGCGTCACTCTTTTCAGTTCTTCTTACTCCAGCAGTGTTCACACACCAGCAGGAGGTTCCATTGCACTGCCTAGCCTTGAATTTGCCACTGTTTTCACAGTCAGGATCATAAATTCCATCATTGTCAACATATGCATGCTTTGGTCTCTCCCGACGACCAGACTTCTTTAAGGCAGCCATTTCTGCCTTCATCAGCAGACATTTTGAAGTCACTATGAAGTTAAAAAAAGTTGAATCTTGAAACTTACCAAAACCATTGGTTCAAAACATCAGTTTTTTGGTTTGCTTAGAAAGTAGAATGAGGTTATATTAAAAAGGCAGCAATTGTAAAGCTGCTAAAAGGAAACCTTACCAAAAAAAGTACTCCATGAAATGCCTCACCAGGGAACAGAGGACAAGGATGAAAAAGAATGGACATATATATGTAGATTTGAATGAGAACTTATTTAGCTATGAAAACAAATTTGACTAGGAGCATGAGAACATGTCCAAGTCAGAAACAGAGTTAGGAAGAAGCTTTCCCTAAGGGAGAGTTACTCCTTGAGTGCCATTTTGTGGCTTCTGCACTGTTCCCTGAAGCAGTCAGCACCGATCATTGACAAAGCAGTCCAGTGGCCAAATCTAAGAAGATATTTGCCACCTGAAAAGATAACCATAAGCAGCTGTCCACCAAATCAATTTGAGAAGGTCATACTTACGTGTCTGACAGTTGACTAAGACTTGAGAGCCAAAGGATGTACACTGACAGGTGCCAGAACTCATACTGCAGTTGGTTGTGCGTTTGTTTGTTGCACAGCTACAAGCTAAAAGAGATTTTAAAAAAGAATCTCTGAGTATGTGAGCCTTAAAAGAGGAAAAGGGGGGGGGGGAGGAGAAGGGCACACACATGGCCAACCTACCTATTTTAGCAGCTTGCCATTTGGTGAACCTGGGCAGATTTAACCCATACATCTTCAGGGTATGGCACACTGTCCCATGCACTGGCACTAAGACCACTTAGAGAGAGCACATCTCTGGGGCAATCTCAGCTATTAGCCAGCTGGCTTTTAGCTCATGTGGTACAGGCTCATACATGGAGCCCCAGAGGTCCCAGCTTTGATGCCCATGGGGCTATCAGCATTACCAAGACAAAGCTCATTGCAGTGACTAACACCAGGCCAAATGGGGAACATGGGATCAGGAACTGGAAAAGAGAACTTTGGAGTTTGAGGCCGCAAGCTCCATGCCAGCTGCCGGGCCAGCCCCCCGCCGATGCCTTTGGCTGTCCC